ATTTCCTGCTTAGCGGTGTTTTCTTCATCGTTCTGTTTGTTGTTTTTAGACATTCACAAAGACCATTTATTTTAGCCAATATTTTTCAATAAATATTATTTCAATTTCCTGTCGCCACCATCCAGTAAAATTTCTTTTCTTTTCATCAGTATTACCAAATTGTCGAACAGTAAGTTCCCTAGTGATCATTTAAAAAATGCGAAGAAAAGAAAACTGTCATAAGTGCGCATAACGTACGTAAATTATTCCTCCAGTTTATTCGAGAGATTTTTCTTTAGTAAGGAGGTGAAAGTGGCTTACAACAAACGAAATTGATAAAAGCCGAAGAAGTCCTTCTAACGGACAGTGACACTTACTGGCTTGTAAGCAAATGGGTAATTTTTTCGGACTGTTTCCTACTTGTTCTTAATCAGGTGTAAGAACTTTTTGGTTTCTGTTAAACAAGTCTGAGATTCTGGACGGTATTTGAAGCGTTCATTCTGTAGCACACAAAGTATAGTTCCTCTCCGTGCAAGGTACTTCGCCGTTATTTATGTGTAACACTTGAAAAAGTAATCAAAAATGAATACACAGATCAAAATTATAAATTTTCTGTTTCCAAATTTCTGATGCTCTGTTCAGCGTTGCCTAACTGTACAGCTTGGAACTTAAAACGATTTAAAAAAGCGCTAATTTCCCACTTTTGGATAGGTGCCAACAACTATTTCTGCGCTTCGTAAATGGATCTAAATAAAGCGCTACTGACGAACTGGGCATTTAGCTTAGGTGATTAGTTTTTCCGTCTTGTGGATCGGGAAGTGTGCAGGAGAATATACAAGAATGTAAAAAATTTACAGCCTGCAGTGTTTTACCGCACATCCTAAAGTACTTGGAACCGCTCGCTACCGGTAGTACATTGTTTCGAAAATCTGTTCCATCGGGGATTGTACTTGGCCGGTGGAGATCGGTGTTACTGAGTGCATGCTTTAAATCTCTTGGCTGCAACTATGTGTTGCGTATAATTTATACTTTTTTAGGTTTTTTATGCGAGTCTAATTCTAGTAGCGCGGCACTTGTTTTCAAAGAATTGATCAGAAAGATGCATTTTTTTTCATACAAAAAATTTGTTACTCTGGCGGTACTTCCTTCTGCACTGTGTCCTTTTCTTTTTAGACGTTTGCTGTGATTATTGTTGCTGTCACCAGTTTTCTGAATTTTCATTTATTTTCAGACCCAAAGATTTTTACCTTGTATATATCACTCTTGGTTCTTATTGTAATTATCATTATAATCGTAACTTTTACTATTATTATCATTATTATAATTGAATATTTAATGTAAAAGTTATTACTTTCTTTACTCCAGTTTGCGTGTTAATACTCATTAGGATAGCACGCCCTGCAGCCAGACGAAGATTTGTAGCGCTTTATTTCGTTGCTTGCTCTTTGAATACTTCATCTTCATTTTCTTTTAACCGTTTATTTATAGGGAGGTTGAAGGTTCGTAGACATTGTTAGCGAAAAAGGCTTATCTTTTTTGATTTATTGTGTTATTTATTCGTAAATTTAACGTTTTAGATCGACTTTTTTGGTTCCAAACTTTATTTGGTGGTCTCAGAAATTTGATTGGTGGGCACGCACGCAGCATACCTTCGGCGTAAAAGAAAAGAGGGAAAAACATTTTACCAATTTAGATTAAGAAAGAGTTAATCTTTCTAAAAAGTTTAGTAAGATGTTTCAAAATAATCCAAAAGAAACCTGAAACAGTTTATCACCGACAAATTCTAATGAGCGTCTTTCATCTGTCAAGGAGTCTTGTTTATTAAGTATTCTGAAATTTTTGTAGATGAGGGATAACTGATTTTGACTAGTAACTTCCGAGGTTGTGGTTTGAAGGTGTAGATTTTTAGAATTTGTGACTGCGGAGGAGAAACACTTAGATAGATGAGTGGTCTAGTGATTCATTCTTTCCATTCTGTTAGCTGGATTTCGGCGAAAGCTAAAAATAATTTCTAAAGTCATTTACTAGTACTGTTCAGCCGATGCTTCCAAATGAGCATTTAACGAGGAGCAGAGAACTCTTTTGTAGGTTGGTTAGGGGGTTGTGCAAGCGAGGTTGCAAGATTCTAGGTAGTTGATAGTGCCCAGTGTTCGTTGAAAACGCAGAAGTGCTTGACCTCGCTCGTTACTAGGTGTTTTTTTTTTTTGGAAATCTTGGAAGCCCGTCTAGTTATGTTTTATCAGTTATGGGAGACGTTCAGGTGGTATAGGATTTGTGCTGTATTTCTCGTTCGTTAATATTTTTGTGTACCATGAATACAGTTTCCTTAAGTCATTGCGACGAAGTACTGAATACCTGCACTCTTATAGAGTTCAAGCGATTTCAGTATTGTACTCGTTATGTCTGTTGCCAATCGCCTAAGAAGAGTAAGAAAGCAGCCACCAGAAGGTTGGGATCTGATCGAACCTACGTTAAATGAATTTGAAGCAAAAATGAGGGAGGCCGAGACTGAACCCCACGAAGGGAAGCGAAAAACGGAGACCTTATGGCCTATATTCAAGGTTCATTTCAGGAAACTTCTTCTCCCCTACTGCTGTAAAAGGTATTAAAAATAAACTTTCATTTCTTCAGATCCATCATCAGCGGTCTAGGTACATCTATGATCTGTATTACAAGAGGCAAGTCATCAGTAAGGAATTATACGACTTTTGCCTTGAAACAAAACTAGCTGACGTTAACTTAATAGCGAAATGGAAGAAACAGGGCTATGAGAACTTATGCTGTTTAAGATGCATTCAAACGAAGGACACAAACTTTAGAACGAATTGTATTTGTCGGGTTCCAAAGAGCAAGTTGGATGTGGTAATCTTCCATCCTTTTCTTTTGATTATTTGGGCAGCGGGAGTCAGGTGATTGCTAATGATGTGTCAGTTTTCAGGGAAGAGTGATTGAATGCGTTCATTGTGGGTGCAGAGGATGCTCTGGTTAGGCGGCTATCCATTTATTATTTCAACCGTTATTGTACATTTCAGATGTAATTTTGATGTTACACGGAGCGGGAAATAAAAAGATCACGTGTCGTTGCTGTTCTCGATTGCTTTTTCTGCCTTCTCCATTTCTTGTATTAGGCGGACCATGTTAAACGGAGCGATATTAGCCTTTTGCAGCCTTCCGCACGCACTTCGTAAACGATAGATGAATCCGATCAGGTCTTCGGAAGCATAACTTCTACCCGTGTAGGACATCCCCATTTCATCAAAGAAAACCGGCTAAAATACGACAGTGTTTAAAGCGACTACAATTAAAAAGCAAGTGGTTTTTACCGGTTCGTTCCTTGGGAAGTTGAAATTTGACTGCACGAGTTCATTCCCATGCACCTGGTAGATTTTAACTTTCACGGACTCTCGCGGCTCGTAGGATGGTTTTCTTTTAAACCCCTTCGTTCCTCTTCCACACCTGAAGAAGCTTCGTTTCTACACAGGAAATTCCAAACTACAAATGTTAACTTACTGTATGGTGCGGTTTTTGCCGAACAACAATTACAGCCGCATTTATAAACGGATTCGAAAAAGTATATGGCCACTAAAGAAATCGCTGAACACAAGTAAGTTAACGCAAGCTGCGCTCCACGAAACTGGTATACGAGTTCTCTTTCCTTTCGCGTATTGTCAGGTGATAAGAGGAAAGGATATCAATACAGAAGAACTGGTATCGTCTATTCGGAGCAGAGCGGGACGCCATTGAGGATGGCTTCAGTTCCCTGACTACTCAAAAATTTAGAAGCAGTGGGTGCAGTAATCGTCCGATTGTTAGTACAGGGAGGGATCCAACTAGATATTGATGTCAAATGGGTGATGTCATTTTTGTGGTTGGCCACTCGTAACAAATGACGACTTGTAACATGCTTTGTACGGTAAATGCTATAATAAATCACTCTACAAAACCCTATCTTTTTTTTACTTCGTACTACACTGAATTTGGGTATGTACCACCTTATACTAAAAAAGAACTAGTCTTCTTGTGGCAAGCTGGTATGCAGTGATGGTCAAAACAGGACTAACAGTGTTACGGCGTAATGGATGAAGAAAACTTTCAGTTTCGGAAGAAATTTTCTTGATGTTTTTCGGTGAGTGTCCATGCGATTAAGTAAACGTGTCATCTTTCACACCGTGAATTACGGTACAGGAAGTTAGGGACGAATAGGTATCTGAAGTTGTCATCAACCATACAACAGTCAGTTAGCGAATTAGCGAACCTCTGAGTGGTTTTTATTGACAAGTTCGTGGACTATATGTTTCTTTTTTCATGACTTGTTTCATTGTGAACCAGACCAGGAAAAGCATATTTCGTCAACTTGAAGACTGGAAGGAGTGAATCTGTACCAATATACCCATACAGTGCGAGTAGTACGTCCAATGGAAACTTTTTCGAAATCCATTTTAAGTGCTTTGTATTATCCAAGGAGCAATATTAGTTTTCAAGCAAAGGTTAGAAACACAAGTCCCTTGCCTAAAAAGGTAGAATACAGAGAGTGACAAGGGTGGAACTGCTGTAATTACACAAGCAGAGAGAGAGCGTTTTAAAAAAAAGGCAACGAAAAACTCTTCTTACTAAAGTTTATACATTAACTTAGTTTTAAATTCTCGTTTTCAAACGGAAATTGACGAGATGAGAATTTTGTGGTATATGCAAAGCATGATGGCTGTTCGTTACCTATATCATGTAAAAAACAGAAAGTTGACTTTAACTATCACATGCCTACTCTAACTAAGTTAATGTTAAAATTCTTTTCTGCTCTAACTTCAGTAAGACCGTCAACGCTGTTAAGTTGCGAACAAGTTCTTCTACTCTTCGTGGACCGTAATGCGGGAGACTGGAAATTCCTGTAGTAAAATAAATCTTGAGCAGCAACATATTGGCGTTTAGAGTCCTCAATCGTCACAAAAAATTACGGAGTTACATCAACAGCACTGTCTACTCTTGACCACGAGGCACCTTGCCAGCTTCCGGTGATTAATGAAAGAACCGTAGCAAGATAAGGGATCATTAGGTGTCCAACGACGCGCGCACTCACTGTACACCAGTCATTAAAGTTAGGATACCCCGCTAAAATTCAAGAATGACTGAATATAGTTTCGCGGGTGCACGCTACATCCATTGCTATGACTATGACAATGTTTTAAAAACTTATTTCTAGATACCTTTCCAACGCAACAAGTGAAAAAGACAGTCTGTAACTTCCACCAACGTTTACTTTTACTAGCACATTTTTTCTCCCCACTCTTTCGCTGAATGAAAATTGACATTTACCTACAAAAAGGAATGAACTAAACTACTCAGCAGTAACAAGAAAATCATCAACGCAAGTTTGGTAGAATTTCTGCAACTGTTTTTTTATTACCTCTGCCGCCAATATACTTAAAGGCCTGAGAAGACGTGAGGGAATGAGAAACTTAAAAAAACTAACGGTTCTGCTGGCAAAACAGAAAGGTCGTATAAGTTTGGGTTCGCTTGTAGATCTTTCATGAAGCGAAGTATAAAAGCGATCGCGACAGGCTCCGAATTTAGCCAGTCCAACGCAACCTGCATTAATATTCAAAACCGTAATAGTCTTATTAAGAAAACAAATTAACTACTACACTGCTTAATAAAAAGGTATGAATAAGCACTTACTGAATAGTCGAAATCAATTTGTTGCAATATGTTCAGGAAGAGCAATTGAGGACAAAAATGAGGAGGAAGTTCGCTAAAATACATGAGGTGGAAATTAAACTGTGGTTTTTTTAATACAGTAAACTAACCGGTCCATTGGTTCGTTATAATTCTGCTCATAGGAAACACTTAGAACTTCATATTAAAACGACAAGCGAACCGAAGATTTCGCACATTTTGGTGTTACTGATATGCAGCAAAGCCAATGGAGTTGATAAGCACCTCTCGTCGTGCTCAATTAGCCTTACAGACAACTCTCGGTTTGTCTCAACCATCACGGCAAGATCCAATATGAAATTCCTGATCGATTTTACTTCTAAAAATAAAACAATGCACAAGTGCAATTCAATCACAGATGCTAAAAGTGTAGAAACTTAATATCACAACAGAGAAAAATAACCTCGTAAATGAACTGAAAGACCTATTAGATGTATACAAATAGACAGGAAAGAAGTTGAACTAAGAGGGTATTTAGATTCCGCATTCCGATCAATTCCTCCAAACCACGACTCAACTGTAAATTAAATTTTTAGTAAACATGTTTTAAAATGATAAAATGAAGCACAGAAAATTCTTGTTTAGAATAAAAATGCAGAGGTGACAAAAAGTTGCTGGAAAGAAAAGTCGCCCGTAGCCATAAAGCTTACAGCGGCTGAATTGAATCCTTGAAACGATCTTTGACATTTCATTGTAGGCAGTGTTGATAAACGGGATGTATAGGTCCAAAACAGGTTTCTTGCCATACTGACAATCTTGCCAGCACAGAAGTGTCAGTTTCTCAATGATAAAAAGTAAACTACGGCGAGGTGCCGAGTCTTCAACGGTCAAAAAATTTTCCGAAAGAATCTCACTGAAGTTTTCAAAACAGTTTTTCAATTGTTCTTCATTCCCATCCCTTAAGCGATCCTTCCATTTCAATAATAAACTCAATGCAGCTTTTTCAGTTGCTGTAACTTCCATCATATTCTCCTACATCTACGTACTTCATATACCGAAGCATCTTAAAAATTAACAATTTATAGATGCGCTTCAGAACAAAAACGAATAAAAAATTTGTGCTGTTATAGTGAAAAATTGTTTTTTTTTTTTTCTCTGACAGTTTTCGCATTCTATACATGCGGCACAATGTAGTAATATAGCTGCAAGAAATGCTACTATGCAGCTTCACTTCTTCCGGTTCTGATGCAGCGTTTCGTAACAGATAAGATGGGAACTTTGCTGAAGAAAGCGAGTAGAAATACGGAGCGTGCTTGGACCAATGCCTTCAAATGGTTCCTGAAAGTTTAATGTGGAGGGTATGATGACAGAATTTCTGTTGTAAGAGCTAGTAAAAAGTCAAAAACGTTCGGAAAAGCCAGCTTATTGCCTATTATGTTTTCTTAAGCTTATTGCCCATTATGTTTTCCCGCTTCTTACCATTTTCGTTCCTTTCAACTACTCAAAACTTGACTCCAAACGACACCACTAATTTATGGTGTTGTAGAGCAAAAAATTCACGAACTTTCAAAAAGTTAAAACGACATTCTTGTCTTTGAAATTAATTTTGAACTTGCCTTTTTTCTTTGTACATATCTGAGTTTTTGACGTGGCTTAAAAGTTGTAATCAATATACCTCTGAAGTTAACAGGCATGGAAAGTCTAAGGAACTACCAGTAAATCGTTGAGGGTTTGGGGGGAAAGAACTTTTGAGGTTGCCAGCAGAAACTACAGTGGCAATATACTAACTTTCCAGCTGCCTCTGTATCGTAAAATCATTTGCTAAGCACGGGTAATGGTATCAAGTTCTCATTAGTATAACACTGCAGCACCTTCTGCTGTTTCTTCAATTTACCTACGGGTAAAATGAGGGTAAAAAAACCGATTATATACAGAAGAAATGGCAGAACTACGAGTAATAAAACTTGCAAGTAACAGGGGTTTGGACAGTTGAAATACACGCAACCTTAAGTGTGTCATGCACTGTAACTTTAGACGCATACCCTTGGACCAGTACATAATTTATACCATTTTGTAGGTGCCGGAGAACTTGTATCATTATCACCAAGGAAAAAGTAGAAGAAGCAGGGCAGCAAAAACAAAGATATGCGAAGTACCTATACTTTAATAGCAGTAGGTAGTGTACGCGCATCTCAAGTACATAGGAGAAATGACAGATGTGATGCTCAAGTTTGCAGTGCAGATATTCTAGACAAAATCCTTGAAAAAAGAAGTTTTCTCCAGCATTTCTGTAACCGAGATGTGTCGGACACTTCACTTTTAACGGTCAAGCAAATTAAGAAGCTTCAAATTAATACAAGGATGTAAAAAATGTCAGTTTCATATTTAAACCAAGAAGCACTAAAAACGAGATAGGCTTGCAACTTCAAAAAGGTACTTTGCGGAGCCAACAGGACTTCCTAAATACAACTTCCTCAAAAACACAACTTCTGACACTCAAAGTCCAAAACAGTCTTGACAGTTTTCCATTATTCTTCATCTGCGAACTTTCCACGGAAGTGGTTGAAGGAATCAGTGAACTTGATCGAACTATTAAGGAAAAAAGCATACGAAGACATTAAAGGTACAATGATAGTCAACGGACAGCCCGAAAATGTACTTAGTAGAGCTTGATCAGTTGAGAGCTTCAATTGAAACGTTCATCATTAATTCTGAGCTACTAAGTTGGATCTGTTCAAAATGCGGTCTTGGGAGAAGAAGACCCTTAAGACCACACTAACTTTTATTCTCAATCCCACAAATGTATGGCGGAATGCGGTTGGGTTGGGTGAATTCCAACACTTCGCGGATGTGCATATTAGTTCTTTGAACACAGTTAACTTTGATAAAGCCACAGTTTTTGCCAAAGTTAACTGAACCCAGTCGCTTTCCACTAAACGAATCGTGGAATTAGTTTTGGGACAGAAAGGAATATATATTAACTTTAATAATTTTTAACTGCATCTGCGATGTGTATTTCACTTTCATTAGTTATGGACTAATAACAGCAGTTAACAAGTAATATGACGATATAAACTGAAACCGTCTGGTTTAAATACGTATGTGTATTAAACATTTCACGAGCTTCCGATAGAGTAGCACCGGTGTTTGTATTTCTGTATATAAACGCAATATTTTGTTACTAGTACTGATACGGGCCTGAGAAAATCGCTTTCTCAATATTGTGAAGTCTTTTGAAACAGATTTTTTAGATTTATATTTAAACGAGTCAAATAATGCAATGACTGAACTGACGAAATGGTCGAGGAAACAAGAAGTTTCGGAAGCAAAAAGGCATAGTGTACTTTCTTGTATGAATAGTCTTAATCCTGAAATTAATCATGTTGGTTGTGCGCCACTTCCCGGCTTCATTTTATCACAGTTTGATATCATTCACCTATTATGAAGTGCACTTGAAGGTTGGCTAGTTTGGATGCTAAGCGCAAATTGGAAAAAGAGAGGAGTTCAGCTATATCGGAGAGCTTAAAGAATTTGGAACATTCTTCATCGAAGAAATTTGTTTTCAGTTCCGACTCTGAAGATGGCGTAGAGGTAGTTGTACGTTCTGTTACAGTTTTCTTTCTGATCTTTTTTTTTATTTTGCGGCTATTTTTTTTCCTCACATGGAAACTGCACAAATCCTTTCAAATTTTATACCATATTAGTGATCTATTTGAAGGAAAAGCCAAAGAAATTGTCCCTTTTTGAAGATGATGATGGCAGTGACGAACTCGATAATAGTTCTACCAATAACCTTGACGTATGTCTTCGTCTGACTATCTAATTGTATATTTTGCCTCATGTTTCTAAAGTAAGGCTTACTGTCTCGGTTACATGTAGGATTCTTCTTCCTGTTACTGCTTTATACCTGAAGTGCGATACATTTTATAGTTCTGTCGAACTTTACACTTCTGAAAACTTACCGTATTTGGATTCCGACTTGCTTTATTGATTTAAATAGGACTTGAATTTTAGATTGATTCTCTAAGCCGCTATTTTGGAAAAAAAGGAACTAAAATTGCAGAACTGCAGTCAAAGTACGGACATGACAAGCGTTTTATTCTTGATGAGCGGTTTATAGACTCAGATGAGGTACGATTTACTTCGGGGCGTAATTTTATTTAACTTGGTGTCCAAATTAAGAAAAAATAGCACTTTTTTGGGGCACTTTAGATGCGTGAGCTGGAAGACTACATATTGAAATTGTTCTTCTTGCAGGATGAGGAGGATAAAGAAATTGCTGAGAGGGATGAGCAAATGGCAATATTATCGAGTGTGCTAGGAAAAGATGTTTCGACTTATAAGACCTCTAAGAAGTTTGCTGCATTTCACAGGTTTGATCCTGAGAATGTCTCACACCTGCGGTGGCTTAATGACCAGAAGACCAGTGACGACAGTGGAGACTCTGTAAGTCCATCTGTTTCAAAAACATATGCTTAGTTGCGTTCCAACTGAAAAAATTTTCTTATTTTGTAGTCAAAAGAAGAAAGTAACAGCGAGGCAAGCAGCAGCCCAGAAAGTGAGGGAGAAGAGGAAAAAAGAGTTGTTCAAGGTCGTTTTTACGAGGTTGATGAAAGTTTTGCAGAAGCATTGAAGGGTGGACTTAAAGAAGGTTATTATTCTTATTTTTTCATGAATATTTTTCATGTTTGTCACGTTTCTTATACCTCTAGAATTTGGTTGTTGCTAGTTCCTCGGTTTAATTACTTTTGTTTTCTCTATCATTATTAAGGTTTTTCAGTAAGTAAATTACTCTTCTTCTAAAATTATATAGAGGTTTTTGTAAGAGGTTTTCAAAGATGTGTTTGGTCAAAAAGAGATTGTTGCAGAGGAGTCAAATAAGCAGGGCAATAGTTTCAGTTTTTTGGAGAGTGTGGGTCGCAAACCAGCTTCTATGGGTAATTCTGTGGAAAACACAGTTGGAGACGATGCATCGAGTTTAGCTGTTGAAGAGGTACTGGTCAAGAGATTTAGTTATACTGGTTAAGAGAAGGTGGAATTATATTAGTTACAGGAAGCGAAAAAATCTCCGACAGTTGGTAGTTCTGAGGGACTGCAAAAAGACCTTAAGTTGGGTTTCTCCTCAGAAGGTAGTTCGTTTTTCTTTCTGAAAGAAAACGATCCTGAGGTGAAGGAAGTTGTTTCAAATTTCCGGCGCGTACGTCCAATCGAAAGTTTAAAAGAAAAGTGGTTTCCTGTGCGACTGAGCTTGATTAAGGTTGTCGTTAAAAAGTTGGCTGACTGATATATTCTTCGTTGAGCTTTAGTGTAAATTTTTTTTGTAAATTTCAAACAGTTTCTCAAGAATGATTGAAAACTTTTTTCTACAGATAATTTTACCTTTGGCTTCACTAGCTTTTTTACTCTTAGTTATTGCGAGAAGTTTTTTCAGTTATCGAAAGCACATCGCAAGCTAGCTTTGAAGCGCGCCAGGGAAGCGAGAAGGGGTGTTCATAAAAGTAAATATTTGCAGTTTTCTAATTTTGCTTATTTAATTTGTTTGTTCTAAAAAACAATTTTTTAATCAAAAAATTCCTGTGATCAGGTCAGAATTTTTAGAAGAAAAACTTGAGGCAGATACTCCTGAAGTTGCCAATGACAAACATTCTGTTGGAGGAAGTAATTAATGGTTTTTTTTTAATTTGTACAAGAAGTTTTTGAAGCTGCGTACAGTTAACAACTGTTTAAAGTTTTTTTGGTCTTGTTGTTTTTTTCACCAGTTTTGTTATTTTTAAAAAATGTGAGTATTTCGAAAAAGATTTGCCCTAGTTGTTCATATTGAGGAAATAGCAAGTTTTTTGTTGTAGTAATACATGGCATTTCGGAGTTGTTGATTTACTATACAGCTTAATTTTGTCAGTGTTTCTTTGTTTTTGAAATCGAGGCTGAAATGATTTCACTAAATTACATAGTAAAATTTTTATTTTCATTGCAAACTGTTTGAAAAATTCAGCTTTTGTTCTGATTCTGGCGAATTTTTTACTAATTTTTTTTTTTCACAGTTGCATAGTCTCTCATCAATTCTGCAACCTGATCTTGTATTGAGTATGATTTTGATTTTGCTAAGAAGCATTCACAGCTTTTTAGCAGTAGTTTCATGGTTTTTTCTGCTGCTTACTTTCTGTTCAGTATTTTTTTGGTGTTTTTGACCTATAACTAAATTTCTTTCTATTGGTTATTTACCCAGTTTGTCTGACAGCGATGTTCTTATCTGTGTTGTTGAGCTTTTGTTGATGGAGTTATTGCACACTGTGTATCTTTCGAATAATGACTTTTTAGAAACTTGTTAATGTTGTGAAGTTATACGATATCTTCTAAGTGCTACAATGCTTCGTTACCTCTTTTTTGTCATTTTTCGCTTCAATATTGTTAAATTCATCTGAAGAGGCTTTACTTCTATCTGACATAGCTTTTTGCGGGTATGTATGCATTCGCTTTCCGTTGTTGTTCTGTAGGCTTTCACTAAAATTTACACGTATTTTAGGTTTTCTCTGTTTCATATGTTGGGGAATTCTGTATGAACGGTTAGTCTATTTTTAAAGCTATTTGTTGTGTTAAGATATTATAAAAACATTTATTTTGATAATTAGGGTTGGTGAGGGTTTATGACAGTCAGATGTAGAAGTTGTACCAGTGGGAAATGGTGTTTGTTTTTGGTTTTGGTTAGCTTATTTAATATTTGTTGGGTGTAATAATGTGCTTAAAGTGGTTTAAGTAATCCCTGCTTTAATCTGGCTGCAGAAGGTGAAGGTTTTTGCAGCCGTATATCGTTTTTTAAGAAATGCAGTTTTAGCGTATTCGTTTGACGGGCTTGTTGTCGTTTCGTTGCTTGTTATCTGTTCTTGTGCGTATTTCAAGAGAGTACCAAGGGTTCATTCTTGGCTGCTGAACGAACGGAAGGGCTTTCTTGGTGTATTTTATAAGGTTGGTTTGAACTCTAATTTAAGTCGGATGATGTTGGACACTTTTTTTTGGTGTGGAGGTAATGTGCTTGCCATTATTGATCATTTCTGAATATTGGGGCTTTTGGGGGAGCCATTTTTTATATTTTTAAGACATAGGTTATTGTGAACTCGGATCTTTTACCAGTGACTGCCAGTAATTCCAGTTGAGTTACTTTTGTATTTCATTTACAAGAAAGGCGAAGGAAGTATTTTAGTGAGATGCTAAACGTGGCACATACTGATTTGCTAAGTTAAAGGTTTAGCCGTCTAGTCGCATGTAATCATATTTAGGCAACCAACTTATTATATGCTTTATTTTATTTCTTCAGTTCCATATCTTTTTAATACATACTGAACTGGAAATTTATTTTTTCTTTTTTTAACAACGTCTTTTAGCTTCAAAATGCCGCAGAATATCACAGGAACATTTGAAGTATGAAAATCTATTGGGAGATAGAATAATTTGTCATTCTTGATTACGTGGACGGCACTAAAGTTCTTTTAGTCATTGTTGGTTCGGTTTCATTTTAGTATGTTTTCTGGTCACGACCTTTTTTTGTTTAAAAAATCTTGCAAATTGTTTAGAGTTCTGTTTCCGTGTTTTGATTGCCGTTTTAGTTAAAAGTGCAACTGCAAGTTGTTTTTAGAGATCTTGGGAATTTTCTACGGTAATTCAAATACCGTTATTTACTTTCATTTTCATTGTTTTCAATGGAGGGTAATGATATTACGGCGATGAATGTTGCTCGTAAATTGTGTCACATCATTTCTCCTAATTAATTTACCAGGGTAAAAAAAGGATAATAATTTCTCAGGGGCTGAATTTCAGGTTTTTAGTGGTTCTTTACATTGGTTTCAACGATGAAATTTTTTTTTTAATTTTTAACAAATAATTTCTTTTGTTTTAGAAACTTTTCAATTAAATTTTAGAGCATAAAATTGCTACTTCATATCTAAAGTTACTTTAAAACATTATAGGTCTAATTTCTTATCTTCTTTCAAAGCGAATTAATTGGAACGGAAAAGTCAATTTTTTATTTTCCAGTTTTAATACATTATTAATAGATTGAGTTGGACACCCAATATGATTAAGCTCGTAACATTATTGGTAGTATGTTAAGACGGACGGAGAATTGAAACGAATAACTACCGAACAGAGGTATTTTTTACAGGCATCTGTCATTGGGACCAGACTACATTTAGCGGTTTCTATTTGCTGTTTTGCAGCAGCACTTTATGTCCTTGTTTTGCGTTGATTCGTAATTCACTGACAAGTCACAAAGATGGTGCAACATAAAATGAAACAGAAGGTCATTTAATTGCTTTTAAGTTGTTTAAGAATATCTCACTCTTACAGTATTTGATAGTAATACGGATGATATTTAGGTTGCACTTCCGAAGGGGGTAAAACAGAAAGCAAAGATTAAGAAAGTAAAATCACAAGAACCAAAGAAAGGCCATAAAGTAATGATTGCACCTAAAAAAGCCGCTGCTATCCGGCAGGTTAGTTGCGTTCAACTGTTGTGGTGTAGGAAGGATAGAACTTATATGTTCAAAAAGCAACAGGGAATGTTTTTCGGTTGGAATGAATTCACTGTTACGTCTTCCTTTTCATCTACTTTTTTTGTCTAGAGGATATGTTAAGAAGATTTTAAGTTTTGGTGGTATTAGTCATTTTTTCGCTTCCTGGTGTGTCGTCTGTGTTTTGCTGTTAAATTTTTGAGGAAGTCAGTTTTGGAGTTATTTGGCTTGGAAACAGTGTAATTCTTGTAGGCAGCAGTAAATACTGAAGTAACAAAAGTAATCAACCGAAGGAACGAGGATTTGTTGAAATCTCGTGCTGATCAGGCTGTCGGGAAAACGTCCTCTTGAGGAGTGACAGAATTGTGCTGATTGCTTTTAAGTTGAATTTGTGTACAATACGTGATGTCGATCTGGACTTTCTTTACAGTCAACGGACATCGTTGTTTCATTTTTGTTGATTAGTTTAGGGTTTATTTTTTTGTGTGGTTTTAAAAGAACTTCAGGCATATCTGGAAACCAAGTTTTGTGCAACTTTATTCTTCGTTCTAAATTATATAACTTTTGTTGGAGACTTGTAAAAACGAATATCTTGTGAAACTTCAGTAATTTGGGCTGCCTTAGTGAGCTTTATTTTTTCTACGGAAGGGGAATGTTGGTTATGCGTTGGGGTATAGTGTTTCTTCCAAAATTCTCTGTCTTTTATTATAAAAGCACAGCCAATTTCATGAGTTGTTGGATGCGTCAAAGTTTTTGATTTTGATTGTCATATAAATACACGAGGAATAAGTTTATTTTTTGTTTGAAATAAAAGTTTGCAATTATTTTGGTGTGGATTGTCTACTTTAAACGTTAATTTTTTTTTTTTCATTTTTCGTTAATAAAACGTAGATTATGGAGAATTGATCTAAAACGCAGTGGAATGTTTTCGCAAGACAACATTTAAAATGAAACGTTTGCAGTTGCTCACTTTGCAATTCGGTTTCATTCTTGCTAGAAAGATTAATAGTTGATTTGTACGGTGCACGTCTAAGTCGACGAAAGGAAGTCAAGAGCAGCGTTTGTTCAAGCATGATTGGGCTTGGTATGGAATGTCATGAAAGACGGGTTTTTACTGGCCGGGATTGGTAACTGTAGTGGATAGACAGTACGGGTTTACGACTTTGTTAAGTGATTCAGTGGGTTTTTCTCACGAGTGTACAAGTTTTATAGCACTTAAACAAAAGCAGCTATTTTCACCAGCAGAAAGCATAAGAAGACTTGTCAGTAGCCATGGTTGAATGTATTGGATTTAACTATAAAGGTGTTATAAAAACTGAGTTCATATCAAAAAATAATAATAATAAGTAAAACTACCACCTTTTTCATGACAACTTTAAATCATGTTAGGTTAATTATTGTAACAAATGAAGGTAAAAAACAGCAATTGGAGTTCATTCATAGATAATTTGATTAAAGGTGAAAAAGAACTGTTTCTGATTTCTTTCTCATTGTTTATTTTCTTTCTCTCCTATACTGATTTAAAGTTTGCGTAGTTGAGAAAAAACAGTGCCATTGTTTGATATATGTATGTATGTGTTAAGGTTGTCGGTGCATCTTCACCTAGTTTTTTTTTTTCATTCTGTTGGCACTACGTATTTCTTGCGCGGATAATATGAAACAGGAAATTAAACTTTACCATAGTGTAATGACGTTAAGTGAAAATAACAACCGCTGTCAGGACAGTCGACGAAACGGCTGCCCTGAAAGAATGGATGGCTATGTGTTCAGTGTGTTATGGATGTCCAGGAATGTACAACCAGGTCATCCGCCCCCCTGACCTCTTAAATCCATTTGAAGAGAAAAAAGTGGGGAAGATGAAGGAGAAGAGTTTTTAAGAATTCAAATTTCCTTCATCATAATTGGGTTTAGGTATTTAGTTTTTGGGAATTTGTCAGTAGAGATAAGATCGCAGCCATTTGGTACAGCAAGATCACTCCGACTTCCTTTAACCGATAAACTGTTCATTTTTGTGGTGTGTTCATTATTCATAGCTTTAAACATACGCAGAAACACTCACTTATTTGTATTCATATACAGACTTACAAAAAACAAAAAAAATTACCTTCAAATATACTGGTATTCTAAGTCTCTGTGCCTTATTTATCTGGCAACCAATGTACGATATTCTTCTGCTTTACAGTACCATTATTATTGCTCTACTTCAGTTGAGTCAGATTTATGCTCAGTTAACTGCAATTGATGCTCTACTGCAACACTCAACGCAGGACGTCGTCAAAACTGATAATGATACTCGGACTGTTGTTGAAGCAACCATACTGGATCATAATGGTACCGTTGCTCCGGTATCCGCTGTAGCAAAACCGTTAACCGAACTACAGAGTTTGGTATCAATGAATGACGAGGGGAAAAAAGAGGCGACTTTTGACATTAAGCCTCCACCAACCCCAACCCCAAGAAACGCAACCAGCGAAGGACAGTGCAATTTTAGTAGGCGCATTATCAATTCAATTCTTTTCTCATTAATTTACCAACAATTTTCTGTCTTTTTTTTCACAATACTTTGAAAAAAAGCAAATTGTAAAGTAAAAAAGAAATCTTTTTTTTTCTTTATTTAGATTTAACGATATGGCGTTTTGAACCACAATCCGCAATTGCAAATGCAGTAATGTTTGATCGAAGATCTGGGATTACTTGTGAAGAATGCCTACAGAATTGCATTAATCATCAGGTTTGTTTTATCATTTTTCACTTTAACCATTATTTTAAATGGCTTCCATTTTATAAAGTAGATTAATTTACACTGATCCTATACATGAATAAGTAAATATGTATATAAATACATATTTATATAAATATATTTATATTTACCTTTGTACATGTATGTATATTTATTTATATTTATATTTATATTTATATTTATATT